GCTTTCCATTGATGTGTGGTTTGTTAGGATAGGACAATATTTGGTGAGATACAACTATTTGAAAATCGGGAATCTGAGGGTGCAAAAAAAATCTAAATATTAAGAAAGTCGCCTTTAAAGTAAAAATTTTAATTTTAAATGAAGTCCTTAGCAATGCATATTACTAATCAAAAATTAAGTTTTGATATATTTACAGTAGGAAATTTACAAAATATCTTCATGGAACATGATCTTTACTTAATATCCTAATGATTTTTGGCAAAAAATAAATCTATAATTTTGACCCATACAATGTATTGTTGGCTATTGCTACAAATATACTCTTGCGACTTAAGACTGCTTTTGTGGTCCAGGGTCACATATGGTAGTTTAACCAAAAATGAAAATACCCACTCTCATTTTTTTGTTCAGTGGAAAACAAAATATTTTTCAAAAAAAAAAAAAGGTTTTTCAGACTGAAGCTTCAAAAAGGACACCAGGCACAAACTCGTTCTATATTTCTAAAGTCATATGATAGTTTTAAGAAATTGTTTTGTTTAAGATAGAAATTTAAGTTGAGTTGGATCTTGATCTTCAATGAATCAGCTGATCCAGTTCACAAAACTGATTCATTTACAAACTGGATTGATATGATTCTTGAAACTACAACCCTATTCAAACTGTAATTGTTTCTCATGGGGATGACTGTAAAAATACATTTGCAAGCCTCCTCAGAAATAAAACTTTGGAAATAAAAGAAATAAAATCTATTTTAAAATTTAAAATCTATTTTAAAAATTTAATTTTAAAATACATGCACATTATTGTGAGGCACAACAATTACCATACAGCACATGGCAGTGGTCAAAACGGCTATTACAAAAATACCCTAGGTCCACGTGATAAACAAGAAGTGAATAATAACATTCATTTTGGCCTGGTTCTTCTTCAGAGCCATCAATGACTTCGGATAGTTGTAATACAGCACACCTTTACTTTACTTTTTTTCTTGCGACCTTCAGTCCTCATTCATTGTAATTGCACGGAAAATGCAGCCAGCAAAGCCTTCAGAATAATCATTTTGTGTACCACAGAAGACGGGTTTGAAACAACATGGGGGTGAGCAAATGATGAAAAATTATTTGCAATTTTAGGGTGAACTATACCTTTAAAAGATTTTTTTTGAGAATATGAGGGTCTTTAATGAGCCTGTCAAGACTGTAACTATCATAACATGCTTTAAATGCAGCTTGAGGACGTGTGGAGATTGAAAGGACGAGAGAAAAGAGAGAAAGAGAGAGAGGATGAGTCACCATACAAATTGCTTGCTGTCTGGTAGAACAATTACACAGCTAATCTAAGCAATGAGCAATGTAGTGTCACCACGACTCGAACCCACAACCATGACAAACACCCTCAAAATAAAGATGCTATCGTCTCTATGTCTAAAAGTAAAAAGAGAAAGAGCGAGACAGAGAGGAGAATTCACTAAGATTGAACTGCGTCCACTGACAGCACCATTTATTTGCGAACACTGTCTGTGTTGTTTTAGCACCCAATTCACTAGCGTTCACCAAATCGGTTCTGAATTCAGATAGAAAGGAGGTGTTTGCGCAAAAAAAGAATCAAAATGGTTAGACCTGATTGTGATTCGTTAGAAGCTGGTTTTTGCCTTGAAATACCGGATGCAAAAATGGCACGACTGTTTAGTGAATTTGTCCCTGAGAGAGAGGAATACAGAGGGAGATGAAAAGAGAGAGATAGAGTGGAAATGTGGGTTGGCTCTGAAGCAAGGGATGAGTGTGACGGAAGGATGGTGTGATGCAGAAGAGGAGAGAAATAAAAACACTCGGGCCAGCGCGGTGGGGAGACTGGTTACACACAGCGGGAGCGAAGCTACAACCCAGAAAAAACTACAAGAATCAGTCCGCTTTTAAATTCCTCCATGCTCTGTGTGTATTATCATTCTCTCTGACACACACTCACACACATACGTAGAGTAGTTTCTGTGTGTGAGATGAGTTCACGGAGTTTGAGACTGATATATTGACAGACTGCGAGTAGGAGAGGTGTGATAGCACAGGCTCCCTCTGAGGTTCACAACTCTTCTTCTCTAACACACACACACACACACACACACACAGATACATATACACATGGCCAAAAACACACATTTCATAAATGTATATGGCCCAAAAAAGTAACTGGGCATGCTTAAAATTGTATACAGTTCTATGCATTAGATAACTGTACACATTTCCAAGTTGGAAGTCTGAATTTGAGTGGTGCTCTGTTGCACTTTTCCAGGCAGGAAGTTGCACATTCTGATTTTCTGAGTTGAATGGGACACAGATTCACTAGAGGCACCTGTGTGAAATTGAGGGGAACTGACTCTGCTTCCACTAAAATGACCATGGAATCAGCTGGTTAGAAGTGATAGTAAAATGTTAGAAATTGCTAATGCAATTACATTCATAAAT